TGATAACATTTTGAAAATGTTGAGTTACTACTTTAACACACCAGTTTATTTTTGGCTCTGTCCCTCACACTGCCTTTACTAGATTACCTCATCTTAATTACATCTCTGTTTAACATGAAGACAGAAACATGTGTGTGAAACAATGTGTATAGGATAAAGATCTAGTCATCTCCGGCTGATTGTGTCTCAAGAGGACAGAACGTAGGCCTTTTCCTACAGAACCATGTCTGGATTTCTGGACCAGACTTTCTCACTGCACCAAACAACAGTTGGCCTATTACTACACCCTCCAATGACCCTAATGACTTGGAAGCACTCACTCCAAATCATCTCCTGCTCTTAAAAGCAAGGCCATCTCTTCCCCCAGGACTGTTCCAAAAGGAGGACATCTATGCCCGGCGAAGATGGAGGCAAGTTCAATATATGGCAGATCTTTTCTGGAAGCGCTGGGTGAGAGAGTATTTGCCTCAGCTTCAGACACGGCAGAAGTGGACACGGGTGTCTAGGAACTTTGTGCCTGGAAACATCGTTTTGCTCGTGGACAAAACAGCACCGAGAAACTCTTGGCTCATTGGTAGAGTCACTCAAGCCATGCCGGATGAACATGGCCTTGTTCGCAGGGTTCATGTGAAGACCAAGACCAGTGAACAGGATAGACCAATCACTAAGGTCTGTCTGCTCCTAGAAGCAGTATGAGTCAGTGGTAAAGGCTGGACTCCCATGGTATGTCATGTACTGGTGACCTCTGACATCAGTGGAAAGAAGAAATTATGTTCTAAGGACTGAATGCCTATGTTGTTAATATGATCATTGTGCCAAATTGTTAATAATTGTTTATAAGTTTATAGAACAATTAGGGGCCGGGAATGTATAGGATAAAGATCTAGTCATCGCTTAGTTTACTCAGATTGCACAGAGTGTATATTTGTTAATACCGTATTTTCACGACCATAAGGCGCACTGTGCTAAAAGGCGCAGTCTCAGTTATGTGTGCACTTACTGTATTTAACACACACATAAGGCGCACTGGACCATAGGGCGCATACAAGTACCGTATGCATATTTAAAAATAAAGCGGGAGCAAACCTGAATTCGGTACCTTACTCACATTTCTATTGCCGGTAATCGTCATCATCAACAACACACAAGCATACAAGTGTGCATATTTAAAAATAAAGCAGGAGCAAAACTGAGTTTGGTACTCACATTTTTAGTACCAATAATCGTCATCAACAACACACAAGCATACAAGTGTGCGTCTTTAAAAATAAAGCAGGAGCAAAACAAAGTTTGGTACTCACATTTTTATCATCAATCAAACCCATCGAAGTCCTCATCCTCTGTGTCTGAATTGAACAGCTGCGCTAAATCTCCATCAAACATGCCAGGTTCACTGTCTTCACCGTCAGAGTCACTTTCCGTGCCGTGCGGCTCCTCGGAAACGATGCCGGCTTTTGCGAAAGCTCGAACAACAGTGCCAGCAGACATGTTAGCCCAAGCATCTACAATCCATTGGCAAATTGTGGCGTAACTCGCCCGGCGCTGCCTTCCACTCTTAGTGAAACTGTGGTCTCCACCGGTCATCCATCGCTCCCAGGCCGCTCGCAGCCTTACTTTGAACGGGCGGTTCACACCGATGTCCAGCAGTTGGAGTTCCTTTGTCAGGCCTCCCGGAATGACAGCAAGCTCACAGTTCATTTCCTTCACAAGTTTTTTCACATCGGCTGTGAGATGGGCACGCATAGAGTCACAGATCAACAGCGATGGTGATGCGTGGAAAAAACCACCTGGTCTCCTTACATACACCTCCCTCAGCCAGTCTTTCATCATTTCCTCATCCATCCAGCCCTTTTCATTTGCCTTAATGATGATTTCTGCTGGAAACTTCTCTTTAGGCAAAGTCTTTCGCTTAAAAATCACCATAGGTGGCAGTTTCTGTCCATTAGCATGGCAGCCAAGCACAACAGTAAAAGAAGACTTTTCATACCCCGTTGTGCGTATCGCTACTGTGCTGGTCCCCTTCTTCTCCACAGTGTGACTCACCGGGATGTCAAAAGTGAGCGGGACCTCGTCCATGTTTGTGATGTGGCTGGGCTGGATGTTTTTGTCGCCGATGTGTTTGCTGCAGTAGGAGCGGAAGATGGCCAGCTTTTCCTTATAATCCGCTGGAAGTTGCTGCGCTACCGTAGTCCTGGTCCGGATGGAAAAATGGCACCGTTTCATAAAACGAAAGCACCAAGACGGACCTCCTTGGAAATGTTCAATGTTCATCTCTTCAGCTAGTGAAACTGCTTTTAGCCAAATGGTGACCGTCGAAATGCTTCTCCCGCTCGCTCTTTGCTCGATGATCCACCGCTCGAGTCTTTCCTCCAACTCGAGCCACCTCGCCTTATGTCCGCGGAAACTCAGCTGCGTTTTCTTGACCTGCCGGAGCTTGTTTTCCAGCTTCCTCCATTTGCGAACCATCGATTCGTTAATCTTAAATTCTCTCGCCGCTGCTCGATTTCCATGTTCCTCCGCGTAGCTGATGGCCTTCAGTTTAAACTGTGCTTCGTAAGCGTGTCTCTTTGCCATTTTCAGGGTTGTTAAAACAACGATGTCCTGCATAATGCACATACCTGTTCTTTTATACAGGTATGTGCGATTGTCCCGGTATATACGATCAAGGCCCACACTTCACCCTTTAACGTTCTCATGGTGTTCTCTACTACGTCCTCCTTACAACACATAGGGCGCACCGCGCTATAGGGCGCGCCGCACTTTTTGAAGAAAATCTAAGACTTTTAAGTGCGCCTTATGGTCGTGAAAATACGGTAATTTGAATCATTTTGGATAAGGATAAGTGTAAGATAATGGGGAATTTCAGTTTTTAACTTTATAATTTGTTTAGCATAAGATTTACAGTTAAATTGTATTTTTTCTTGCCTTATTTAATTTTTACGTACTGTTCCTTTAACATACGGTAACTGTGCACGGGGGGAGTGTTCGCGACGGGCAGTGTGGAGCTACGGGGGCTTTAACTAGCTGTGGAGAAAAGCAGTTTCTTACCGTGTTTGCAGTGTACTGGAACATTCAAATGGATCACTGTATTTCAAAACTGTGGAAATAAATGTTTGCCTGTTTGCTTTTCGACTACAAGCGGACTTTGTGGATTATGTTCAACTGCACTAAGACACGCGTACGGCCCGACTACCAGCTAGTGCTTCCGCGGTGATACAATGTAAAGAGTCTCTGCAAGAGACGTCTGAACCCTTACCTACTAATTGGAGGAAACTCATGAAACTAATTCATGAATGGATAAAATGAGAACAATGGTTTGACACCCACAAAGGTTAGATTCATTTATTTTTAGAATGAGTGAGCACAAAAACATTTGTCAGACAGGGGCACAAATATCATAATGCAATAACCTATAAATCATAATCAAGTCTTCAATCTGAACACAAACTAGATAAACTTCAAAGATTCTTCATCCTCCAGATGTTCTTCCTGCTGCTCGTTATCTGATGATATCTGGATGTGAGCAGCTCAGTGCTGGTGCTCAGGGGTTTCCAGGAGAGTAATGGGAGTAGGCTGTGAGCCACTTCACGGGGCAATCCCTAAAATCAAACACAATGTGATTCGCAAGCACAATGGAGTAACACTAACACCACCCACTCACTTTATGTTTGCCAGTAGGGATTTCTCAAACTCCCTTTTCTTTTCTATCGTCCCACTTTCTTTTTTTTTCTTTTGACTTAAATATATTTTTACACGCCTTTCCCTTAATACCTGCTCTATCTGTAGGATTTGGGATTGTTTAAGCCTTTCAAGATGGTTTACCGTCTAGTGTCTACCTCTAAGTACTTAAGTTTGTTTTCTCAGTTTTCTCTGCTTGTGCTGTGTACTGTGACGCAAGTTACAAAGTCTGGCCTGTCTAGGAAAGAAAGCTGTAGAAATGCCAACCATGCAAGCTAACAGACTTATCAACATCACAACTCTATCATTAAGTTGGAAGTGGTGTAGTACATGATGATCTTCAATCTCAAACATCAGCTGCTGTTGAACAGGTTAGATCTGCAGCAAAAGCTGCCAGTATCAATATTAGTTCTGTAATATTGAAAGCCCAGGAAGTTTCCTGGACAATTCCACATTTTGCTTCAAAGTCTAGGAAGTGGTCCAGAAAGACCACTTTCAAAGTCAAAGTGGTCTTCCTGTGTTTATCATCTGGTGTCCCCTTTTCTCTGTCTTCATGTCCGATGTGAATGTTCTTGGCTCCGTGTCAGTGTGTTTTACGTTGACCTTCATTTCCTGATTATTCGCACTTGTGTTCGTTATGTTTAGCTGTGTCGTTTTCCCCACCTGTCTGCACTTATCTATAAATCCTGACTTTGTGTAGGCAGGCCTGTCTTGGGTCTGTGTGATTATTTTGAATTCCTCACTATTGGGATTTTTTTATTGGTCTTTGCTTTTAACTCCATCAAATGCTTGATTTTGATCATGTCTGCTGGAGTCTTGCATTTTGGTCTTATCCTTACAGATCTCAACAGTTAGGACGTTTACTAAAGAATAGCTCTTTTTTTTTTTTAATTCCTCAGCAAAGCACAGAACAGAGGTCTGTAGTATAAAGCAAGATTTTGGATTATTCAGTAAATCCTAGGTGTTTTCACTTCTTATATCCACACATTAGGGCAGCACGGTGGCACGGTGGTTAGCACTGTTGCCTCACAGCAAGAAGGTCCTGAGTTCAATTCCACCATCAGGCCGGGGTCTTTCTGTGTGGAGTTTGCATGTTCTCCCCGTGTTTGCGTGGGTTCTCTCCGGGTACTCCGGCTTCCTCCCACCGTCCAAAGACATGCAGCTTGTGGGGATAGGTTAATTGGATAATCCAAATTGCCACTAGGTGTGAATGTGAGTGTGAATGGTTGTCTGTCCCTATGTGTTAGCCCTGCGACAGACTGGCGACCTGTCCAGGGTGTACCCCGCCTTTCGCCCTATGACAGCTGGGATAGGCTCCAGCGCCCCCCGCGACCCTGAAAAAGGATAAGCGGAAGCGAATGGAATGGGAAATATCCACACATTGGTATAGTAACTTGTGTAGTAGACCAAACTTGCGTGATGGGATATCTACTCCTAGGGAAAGTTTGCAGCAGTACTGAATGTTTTCTACTTGTGAATAATCAGTGTAAAATATTTGAAATTGGCCTTTTAACTCTTGCCAGATAAAAGGGCAACAAGAATTGTTTTTTTAGGATCACTCGTAATGTTCTAGGACACAGATGAAATCTCCAGACCTGCACTGCAAACCTTCCTATCCTCTTCTTTTATATATGTGTTCACACTTACAGATGATTCATTAATGAAATGGATTTGATTAGCAGCACATGGCTGCTACTTAGTTTTTTATACGCTGCTTCTGGATTTTGGCTTAGTTTTTTTAATATATATATATATATGTATCTATATAATTACATGGTGTAACATGTCATGTGTTCTTCATCTGCAGTTGTAATTATCATTTGAAGAACTGCTAATGACCCCCTGATTGTTATTATGTCCTGATGTGTTCAGGCTGTCCTTTCTCTTTACCATGTCTCTACACTGTTAAACAATGGGTTGAGTTACAAAGCTGACCACATAGCCTGATTGCTGATGTTGGGGTAAATGAAACAAGATAACAGAAAGTTATCAAGAGTTTGTTAATTTGCTTCCTATTGTACACTTCTGCTCTCCTGTGTGTTCGTGTTGAAGATTTTTATACCGCTGATACTTCTGACCCTTCCTCCTTTGGTACTCCATTTCATCGACTGTCCACACAGCTCCCTTTCCTCCCTCCACTCGCACAAAACACTTGTGAAGGCTGAGGTTGTGACGTACTGCATTCTGGAGAGAGGATACAGATACAAGGAAACAGTTCTATCAACATGGAAGCCATGCTATTAAAAACAGTACAGTATAGTGAGATGTTCTGGTTGGCACAGTTTTTCTTCTATGTTAAACTGTGCCCAAATGTTCAGTTTATTACAATAAAAAGCACTTGTATTCTGTACACAAGTAGGCATCACAATTAATATTTCATCCAAATAGTACAAACCTTCCAGGTGGCAGTATTATGTCTGAAGTAGAAGAACATGGTAGTGAACCAGTTGTAAATCTCATTCAGAGTACGTTGTTTGTCTGGAGACTCCAGGATAGACTGCAACCAGTCACACACATGGAAGGGTAAGCAGTGGCAATATTTGGCAAATTAGTCATAAATAGCTACAGTTTGCAGATAAAACCTGATTCCTACTGTAAACCTTTGAGGAAGACTTACAAAGCCTTGAGCCACCCTTCATTTTATTTATATTTGGTAGGAAAATGGGAAATAGGTAAGACATTCAAAGCTCTTCTTTGGATGTTGGCTGCCTTTTGTTCATACAAAATATCATTTTAAGCCTGTAAAAGTGTGTTGCAACTATTGATGCAACTAAAGAAATGGAAACAAACAATGATTTTGTGACAGGCTACAAATAAAGTGCCTAAAGATACAATTTTAAAGCATGAAACCTTTTTTTCCAAGGTCTTTTGTAAAGTATCTGAATATGAGGGTAAGATGGCACCGCCATTGCGTGCAATAGGTCGGCAGCCTTATGAAATTTCACCTAGTGGGACTAATAAAGGTATATCAAATCAAATCAAATGTTGCAGTGACTTGGAAAAAAACACACATCCAGAGAGTGTGTATAGAAGTGTATACTTTAGAACAGGGGTCGGCAATCTCAGTCCACGAGGGCCGGTGTCCCTGCAGGTTTTAGATCTCACCCTGGGTCAACACACCTGAATCACATGATTAGCTCATTACCAGGCCTCTGGAGAACTTCAAGACATGTTGAGAAGGTAATTTATCCATTTAAATAAGCTGTGATGGATCAAGGACACATCTAAAACCTGCAGGGACACCGGCCCTCGTGGACTGAGATTGGCGACCCCTGCTTTAGAGCCTTGAGAAATCAGGGACCAGTTCAGATCAGACCAACTTCACAAATGAAAATAAAACATTAGACAAACTCACCCATCTTATCAAGTATGCATAGGTGTAAGGAGGCCTGATGTTGTTGTATTTGTAACACTCAATACTGGGAACCAAATCTATAAAAGAACAGTGGGCGTTTCTCATCAGTTTGTCCCATCAAACACACTTCTTTGGATAATGTGCTTTTGAAACATATTTAGAGATAAAACACAACATGCAACAAATATACAGGTACTGCACATTTCAACTGTCAAATGTAATCATTTATATTAGCTAATAAGCTCTAATAGCATTTTATCTGAAAGAACATATGTTATGGTGAAAACGTAATGTGCATAAAATAGTAAAAAAGTCCATTTGTGTGTGAATCCTAGTGAATTTCACTGTTACCTGGGAGGAGATGATCAGAAGCAGTAGGTCTGTTGCCATGCTGGACCAGCTCTTCCAGATGTTTGGTGGCCCACTGTTGCACTCTGTCTCCACTGGTAACCTGAGGCTGCGGCAGGAACAGAGGAAGGCTGTATTGCCACTCAGAAGCTGCCTTCTGCATATAATGATGAAGGTGGATGTGAACAGACACAGCCATTTATTTTCTCTCCAGAAGAAAAATAAAGCAATATTTCAAGGAAATTCTTGTTTTTACTGTCTTAGCATGTAGACATACCGAGTCAGAGTATTTGTCCTCTGAGAGATGAAGTTGCATTGCAATGAGTTTCTGTTTTTCCAGAATGAGCTGAAAAAAGAGAATTCCCATATATCACTGGATTACTTCTATTTTTAGGAGTCTGGATAACCAGGTTCATGTGTCTACTCTTCATTGCTTCTGTGTTAAAATGCTTCGTCTCAGATTCATTTAGACTGATCTCATAATAACATAGTAAAATATAGAACATAACAGAAGACTTCACTATCAGAATGCTGGCTCACTTATGGTTCTAGAAGTTTCTAAAAGCAGAATAGGATGCAGAGCCCTCAGTTATCTAGCTGAAACTTCAACTTTAACTAAAATGTTCCTTTTAAGCTTATAGCTACTGCGAGATTGAGTAGGTTCGAAAGAAAAAGAAACTTGTATCTATTTTTGGACATATTTACACATGAGCATTCATACAGCATAGTGCTGCTGTAGCTTTGTTTCTCTGGGTTCTACCTGACTTTCCATGTACTGAACAATATCCTGCTGGACCCTCCATTGAGCAATACTTCTGTCACCATGTCCGTGTTCAGAATGAAGATGCCTAAAAGACAAATTGTCACAGGGTATATTCAGGGTTAATACAGGGTTTAAAAATATCCAGAGCTTCCTGCCCTTTGTAAAAAGGCCTCAAAATCGAATAATTGGTTGTGTAAAGACAAAGAAATAAAACTAGACTTTTGAAAACACAAACTACGTGAAACCAAATTTATTGTAAATAAATTTCTATAAATTTCTATAAATATAAATTTAGAAGATTGAAATCGTCCTTTTTAAAACAATGCAAATATCCAGTAGAATATCCTGGAAAATAAAACCCACACGGTCCACAGTGGGCAACTCACTGTGGGGCCCCAGTAATGGCATGACATTTCAGGCCCAATGACCCCACCATGGGCAGCCCATGGTGTGGGCTGCCAACACTAAGCACATAGGGGCCTGTTGTGGGGCCCATGCAGACCTGCAGTGAGCCCATAGTATGCCAATGCCAATCAATGAATAAATCATTGACTGTTGTTGTGAATGGGTGCTATATAAGTTGAACTGAACTGAAATGGATTGAATTAATAAATGCTACTAGTTTTGTTGTGTCCAGAAATGAGGAAATAGCCTTTTCCAACCCTGCCACGCCACACACACACAAAAAATGTATTCATTGAATTAATGCACAGTTCTTACTTCAAGAAACTAGAGAAGTCTTCAAATACTGCTTCACAGCCAGGCCATCGGCAGAGCCCACTCATGAGCAGAACACTGGTCCCCTGTGGGATGCTGGAGGAAACAGAAATGTTTCAGTGATGTGAGTGTGACAGTCAAGAGTGTAAAAACATAACGCACCAAAACCAAGACTTCCAAACCATTTTCTGCCAATCTGACTTTTGATATGAAAAGTTTTCTAACCCGTATATTCAGGATTTATGCATTGCAATGCTATGTGTTGCATAAAATATGCTAACTGCAATATGCAGATACAAAGGACTGTTGTTTTCGGAGCAGGGTATGAGCCATTTTTTTCTTAAGCTGTCCTATAGGTAAAGAAATATGAGACAGAAATAAAAGTGAGACAGACAGAACTCAAAAATGATAGCTATAAACTGACGTCTTAATATGAGGTTCAAAAAATAATTCTTGTGGACCAACTTGTTCCAAGTACTAGCAAGGGTTAGGTATCAGCATAGCCAGCTGACAGGGTGTGATGAGCAATTAGAGACAACTAATTTACTAACAAGTCTATGAACCAAATTTAAATGAAAAAAAAATTAATCGTTATTAAAGCCCTGACTTTGGTGATCACCAAATAAATATATAATTAAGTTGTTTACCAGTTTGAAAGACGGAAAAGTAATCACAAGTCATTTAAGAAATGGACACTGAAAACCTACAAAAATGAACGCTTTTTCTTTATTCATGAACATCCAGGGATGATTTGCTTTTTACTTTTTCAATCTACTCTTTCAACTGTCCTAAAATGCTGTGAATATTTTAAAAATTACAAACTTTGTAGCCAGGGTTATAAAGATCGGCCATATCTATTGGAACTGAAAACAAAATAATATAAATTAGAATCATGATTATTGAAAAAATAGCTGTTACATAATGAGAGTTAAAGACCAGGCTCCACCCACTAAAATTAGATAAAAATTTACAACAACTCTTATGCTACATCTAAAACATGAAATATAATGTCAGTCACAAGAGATCACATGTTTGTCTTGGTGTAATATGAACCACCAGCTCAACTTACCTCCAGTCTTTGGGCTCATTTTCACCACAGCCAAGTGCTCATTTTAGTGAACCAAAAGTCTATTTTTTTAATGTGCTGGCTTTTCATCAACATACACTACCAGTCAGAAGTTTTAGAACACCCCAATTTTTCCAGTTTGTTGAAAATTATGCAGTTCAATATCTCATTGCACTCTGAAATGAAAACATAGTACAAAAAAGCAATTACAGCCAAAATCAATTTATAGACCAAAATGTATTCTAAACTTTTGACTCATCAAAGTAGCACCTGATATAACAACTGAACACAGCCTTGGCATTCTTTCTACAATAGAAATCGAATATTCTCCCATATCTGTAGCAGAAGTTCCCATAAACGTGGACCTTGTAGGTTGCTTTGCTTTCACTCTTCTGTCCAGTTCATCCCAAACCAGCTCAATGGGGTTTAAGTCTGGAGACTGTGCTGGACTCCATGTTTTCAAGCTCACCACCTTGTTCTTTGTTCCTGAGGTAGTTCTGGCACAGCGTGGACTTATGTTTTGGTCATTATCTTGCTGTAGGATGAATCCCTGACCAACTAGGTGCATACCAGAGGGTCCTGCATGGTGCTGCACAATGCTGTGGTTTTGGTTCAGGGAGCCTCTCACTCTGTACAAGTCACCGACCCTGGATCCAGTAAAACAGCCCCAGACCATCATCTCACTGTGGACCCATCCTTTTACCTACTCAACGGTGTACAAAGATCCTGTGTGATGAACCGAAGATTTCAAATGTGGATCCATCAGTCCATAATACCTTCTTCCAGTCTTCAGTAGTCCAATGGTGGTGTTTCATGTCCCAGCCAAGCCTCTTTGTCTTATTCTGACGTCTGGCATTCTTGCTGCAACTCGTCCTGTCAAACCTGCAGCTCAAAGTCTTCTCTTCACAGCTGAAACTGAGACTTTCTTACTACGACCACTATTAAGCTGTGCTTGAAGCTGTTGTCCTGTCAGCCGCCTATCACACAGCTGAGAACTCTCAGCTCTCTCTGTTAACTTGTCTTCTGATTCAGTCGTGTCTTTGGGTCTGCAGACCTCTTCCTGTCAAAGTTTCTGAGCCTTTGGATGTTGAAGGAAACTGTACTCACTGACACCTTGACTTTGCAGTTTCTCTGTAGGACAGGCCGACATTTATAAGTGTTGTGATGGTCTGTCTCTCTTCCATTGTTAATCACCTTTTTCCTCACCATTTTTGCAGCATCACACTACTTTCTGCAGTACAATACTGTTCAACTGATGCTGACCAACACTTCTTTTATGCAGACAGAGGGGGTTGGAAGTAATCCAGAAAAGCTGGAACACCTGTAGGAATTAGTAGCACCAGCTTTCAAGGCTTGATCAAGCTCCATTTTTGCAGAAGAGCTTTAAATTGTTAATACATTTTGTGTTCCCTGAAAAAGACCTTTTGCATAATTCAGATGTTAATTTTTCAGTTTAGGGTAACCTTACTTTTTTTTTTTTTTTTTTTACCTCTGGCAGTTCACCAGCTTTGTATCATTTCAAACTATTCATTGTACTTGAATGACTTGAACTACAACAAATAACTGGAAAAATTGGGGTGTTCTAAAACCTTTGAGAGGTAGTATATGTGATTTTGATTTTATGATGTAAAATCATGCTACAACAGCTGCCGTAGGCTCCTGCTCCCTGTGACCCATAAACTGGATAAGCAGAAGAAGATGGATGGATAACAACAACTGTGCATGATTGCTGTGCAAGTGGTACCCCGCTCACTCTCAGACCTGGGGTATGAGATACTGTTGATTTGTCAAATAATGGGACAATTCCACAGCTTCTACAACCACCTTTAGCAGTAGTAACTTGCAGTAACTGAGTAATTGTTTTCTGTACGACTTTAACAGTCTCTCACATTATTATAGAAAATTGAGCTTATTCACAGTTTTATTTATCTATGAACCCAGAATCAGTTAGTTAAACAATAGTCAAGTTGTAAAGACATAAAGGCCTAGATGACCTCTAATTTTTTATTTCTAAATTAAGACAAACTGAAGTTATTGTACTCGGACCTAGAAGTCTCCAGTCTTCCTGGAAGACAGCGAATCATCTTAGAGTTATTTTTGATCATGATATGCCTTTCGATATGAACACTAAACAAAGATCTAGAATCTTTGTTTAACAAAGCAGACAAAGTAAAACTAAAAAGCTGGTTCACACATTTGTTACTTCTAGGCTGGACTACTGTAGTTCCCTGTTATTAAAGCTCACTGAAAAACCTTTGATCTAAATTGCTGCAGAAAAAGTGCTGACAGGAACTAAAGAGAGCATACAGCAGGTAAAGTAAGTACTGAACACTTCACAAAATATTTTCTGAAGGTGCTGTTGAGATGACATTCTCACCAGATGTCAGTAACAACCATTCCAAAAACATGCAATGAAATAAAACCATATGTCAGTAGATGTCCATAAATGAAGACATATGTAATAATAAGAAATGAAACATGAGTATGAAACACAGTGAAATGTATTTAATACTTCATAGAAGAGCTTTTTTTTTCAAGAGTGATTTTGGGCCATTCTTCCACACCAACAGTCTTTAAATCCTGATGGTTACGTCTATGAGCTTTAGTTGTTTCCATTTGGATTCAGGTCAGGTGACTGACTGGGCCATTTTAGCAGCTTTATTTTCTTTGGTTGAAACCAATTGACAGCTTCCTTGGCTGTGTGTTTGGGATCACTGTCTTGCTGAAATGTCCACCCTTGCTTCATCTTCATCATCCTGGTAAATCGCAGCAGATTTTTGTCAAGTTTACCTCTATATATTTTTCTTTGAATTATATGAAGTGTGCCAGTGCTAAATGCAGAAAAATAGCCCCACCCCATGATGTTCCCACAGCCAAGCTTCATTGTTAGTATGGTGTTTTTGGGGAGCTTTTCAGTGCGTTTTGACCTGCAGACATTGCATGTATTATTATTATTATTATCATTATTATTATTATTATTATTATTAAACAGTAGCAGTGACAGTCAGCAGTGGTGAGCATGCACACATGGCATACGGCCATGGCAGTTGAGTGCATTACTTATTGTTTTCTTTGAAACAATAGTACCTGCTGATTCTCTTGCACAACTCTGCTGATAACTCTTTTCACTCCTCTGTCTGAAATCTTGCAGGAAGCACTTGTTTGTGGCCAGTTTATGATGAATGATGTTCTTTTCACTCCTGAATTATGGCCCCACAGTGCTCACTTGAACCTTCAGTAGTTTAGAAATTCTTCAGTAGTCAGTGGTACATATGCTGCAACAATGTAGTTGTGAAGCTCATTGGTTTTACCCATCATGAGATGTTTCTTGTATGACACCTTGGTAATAAGACACCTTTTTATAGGCCATCATTTGGGGCCGAACCAGCGCTGATATAAATTTGTAGTGGCTCATTACTAATTACTCATAGATTTCAGCTGATGTCATTCCATACTGTTTTCTTCATGTGTTCAATACTTTTTTCTTTTTTGTCATTTCTCATTATTACACATAAGTTAATTTAATTACATCTATTGTTCAATTTGCATGTGTGGATTGGATGGATTGTTACCAACATCTGGTGAGAATTTTATGTCAATAGCACCTTAAGAAATATACTTACTTAGAAAATTGGTGAATTGTGTTCAATACTTGTTTTACACATTGTATGTTTCTTATACTGGCTTCTCTTCACTGGCTCTCTATTAAATCAAAAATCAAATTTAAAATCCTTCCTCCTTACATACAATAATAATCATGCCCCATCTTATCTTACAGTAGAGCATGCTGCTCTCAGACTGCAGGCTTACCTGTGTGTATTTAACAGTAGAATGGGAGCCTTCAGCTTCCAGGCCCCTCTTCTGTGGAACCAGCTCCCAATTTGGATTTAAGAGACAGACAGCCTCTCTGCTTTTAAGATTAGGCTTAAAAGTAGCTTTTTTGAAGCTTACAGTTAAGGCTGGATTAGGTAAATTTAGTCGCCTGCAGCTGGGGGACACTCACCTTTTTCCACTATACACCACTACTGCATGTCATGAAATTTTGTCTTCTTTTTCCCATCGTTGATTTCCTGACCTGTCTCTCTATGCTTCCCTGGTCTCTTTTCTTTCTCCTTACCCCAACTGGTTGCAGCAGATGGCTGCCTCTTCCTGAGCCTGCTCCTGCTAGAAATTTCTTCCTGTTAAAGGCGAATTTTTCTATCCCTTTATTGTAAAATACTACCCATGGGTAACTGTCGGATAGTTGGAGTTTTCTCTCTTAAATTGTAGGGTCTTTATTTTTACAGTCTAAAGCATCTTTGAGATTTGGCACAATGTAAATAAAATTGAACTGAACTGAATTAATTGTTACCCGTCATGAAGCCGGGCCTCAAGAGAGGTCTGCTTTTGAATGTCTCCCCTCCTCAAGGAGAGGAAATGATGGCTCGATGTGGGAGAAGAGCCCATGTGAGGTGAAGGTTCCTGAAGAATATGGCATGCATCCACCTCTTCCTTGCAAATGGAGACTGCTGCACTGCTTTCTGGATGCAGCAGGGGAAGAAAAGATTGATGTAGATTCTTGCCATACAAAGTGAAACCTAATACTATATGCTACTGGTGCTACACTACCTAACTGGTATATTACTATACTAAAAAAAATTCTTAAGACCTAAAATAGAGCACCAGCATCTTACACTCAGCAAATCATAGAATTAACACATGTGTCACAATGTCATAACAAGCACAGGAAAAAAAATCCTACACTTAATTAAAAAAATTAGCATATAACACTTGTAAACAAACAAACAGACAAAAATATCCTTAGTTTCAGTATTTCATATGTTGTTTTTTTGTTAAATATGGAGCTTATAAGTTCTGCATTTTTAATACATTCTGTATTTGTCTCTATAAGTTTATCTTTTACTTTAGAGAACGATTGTAAGACGATTTGCATGCATCAAATGCAAATCGTCTTCTCCTAAAGTAAAGCAAAAGACATTTAAATATCTGTATACCACGTCGTTGCCTGTAAGCGACTGGAGAAACGTGACGCAGAACTGATGGTCTCTGCTGCTTCTGTCTAATGCCTTCCATACTGCTCCAGCACTGGAAAGAAAAAAGTATTGATATTGTTTTGGCTGTAACATAATACAGTTTCCTTTTAATCGCTAGGCCTCATTCAAAAACATTTTTTATTTGTTTGGGGGTTTTTTTTTCATTTTTTAGGAAGAAGTGATGTTTAACATTTGATAGTTTACTAACAAATATTTGTAACAAACTGTTTGCCATTTGTTTCTGTGAATTATAGCGAATGACTAATATCCTGCATACACTACAATGGGGCAAAAAAGTATTTAGTCAGCCACCGATTGTGCAAGTTCCCCCACCTAAAATGATGACAGAGGTCAGTAATTTGCACCAGAGGTACACTTCAACTGTGAGAGACAGAATGTGAAAAAAAAAAAATCCATGAATCCACATGGTAGGATTTGTAAAGAATTTATTCGTAAATCAGGGTGGAAAATAAGTATTTGGTCACCTCAAACAAGGAAAATCTCATTTTCTGTAATTTCCCTGACCAGCATGGAAGGGCAGTATGCAGCAGGGCGTGAAGTCTGCAACTAGATTAGGCCCAAGCACCCCTGTAGCCTCATCAGCTGATTTTAAATCATCAGTTTTTTGAGGTTTCCCTACTTTCCTTGATGACTGGGTGCCATCACTTTGCTTCATCTCAGCTAACTAGACTCGCTGAACCTGATTTGTTGGATTGTGCTGCTGTTGGTGGCTTCTGGAATTATCTGAGAAATCATAGAGCTTCCTTTTTTGGTAATTTTACAAACTGTCTAAGAAGACAGTCTTTCAACTTTACTGACTGAAATTTGTGTGTATTATTATAAATGTTAGTTAGCACTACAGTGCTTAATAAATTCATTAGACCACCTGTCATAAAAACAAGAAAACACAAATAGTAATTTGTCAGAAATGAGTTTAAACTAAAAATTATTCTTATTTATTAGGCAAATAACAAACTCAACTCACAGTTTTAGATCCAAATTTGAGCCGGCACTCTGGACTTGCCTGAGATGTCAGAAATTAATCATACATGTGCATTAACATTTTTTCTGCTTTTTTCTGAAAGTTCATGCGACAATAATTTAAAAATAATTATGATAAAGAAACATATAACTTTTTAAAATAAACATTATCTAACATTATATCCAGTGTATACAGTTTAACCAACTACTACAGCTCCCAACTGGAACATAAAAAACGCAGATTTTTGATAATAATAAAACATCATTAAACTTTCTCTTGTTTATTTTAAGCTTATTTTCACAGACACTATAATAATAGATTTCATAAATCCTTCTTTCCAAAAAGCTTTGACGCTGTGCAGAATTTAAACACTGACACAAGACAAATCACATTTCCTAGTTTCAAAGTTTGAAATGTCATCTTTGTATTGTTTATGTTACGTAGGCTTTAAATGTTTAGTAACTGAAGTTACTGAAACAAGTTTATTCCAATTAAGTGATGTTATTTGTTACATACCTGACTTCCTGACACAGACATGGGTGGCTCTTCCATCTGTTTGATGCTATCAAGTTGGCGTTCGACTTTTTGTTGTCCAAATTTCATGTACTCATCAGAAGTCTCTGGCATTTCTTAAGACACAGAAGACACATTAATGCCTCACTAGAAAGACTTAGAAAACCACATTTTATCATGGAAGTTTTGTCATTTTCTCTACTCCATGAGGGTAGATTCAAACGCTACAAATAAGTAAAGTGTGTTACAAAATGTTCCTTTAATTTAATATATCTGGGAGACATACTGACATATAAACAAACTCTGGCTATTATCTGTAGAATTAACACATAATAACAGTGAAAGAAAACTGCAGCTCTGAACAAGTTTTAAATCACTGCACTCCCATTGTTAAATATTAGGTGTGGATTCTTTTCTTTAGTTGCAAGCATCCTAATAAGATGCTAAGAAGCTGGTTTTAGTTTAAATTGTTTGAGTGATCAAAGATTCAAAGTGCTTGGAACTTCTTCAGTACTCAAAGAACTCAAACCACCAAAGTTTTTTAATAGCTATGTAAAACACTATTTATTATTTAATCATTTTTAGAATGTGACATGATTCTAACGGCAGTCATATGACTTACACCATTCTGGCTTGGGCAATTCCCAGCTTAACAAGTTCTGCAACAAATGTTGGGGAACCAGGTCATATTAATGAAAATAGACTACTGGAATAAGAAACACTGACAAGGACAGAGAACATGGAATTGATGGAGTGCTACTATAAGGACTGTTCACAACAGGAGAGGTTACACGCAAAGCATATAGGAACTTTGGATGAGCAGAATACCAACGTCCACACTGATCAAGAAGCACGTGGAAGGTGAGTGCTATAACATCAACAAAGGAAATATAATATCAACACTAGAAATACAAAGACTACAGCAAAGTGGGAACAATACTGAGCAGTATGGCTGTTTGGTTGAAACAAGATCACTACACAACCAATGATAAGCCTTGCTCATCTCAATGAGAAAGTTCCTAGAGGACAGGAAATCAGCCAATTACACATCTATATACTCAGCTGGATCAGCAGCATCAGGAGACAGATGCCCATGATGTCAAAAGATGAGCACCATTTCCACAGAGGCAGGAGTCACCCCAAGCTAACAGGACCCACGTTTCAGACTGTGCAAAGGTGCCCTGGAGACTTTTTAGCACACAGCAGTGGGACAGGTCTGGACTGGGACAGAAAAATTGGCTCTGATATTTTTGGTGCAGGAGGCCTACAGCCGATTGTCCAGTTTAATATGTGCACATATTTGTGAAATTCTTCAAAGCAATAGTAAAGATGAGTAGCACAAGCAAAAATGTGAAATAGAAGAGAATAAGTAGGTCAAAGTAGCAAAACAGGCAGTAATGAAAATGAATGAATGAAGATTATGCTGCTCTCACCTCTAAATTTAACAAATCAAACTCCCAAACAAAGGGTTGCTCCTGTGTGTGGGCATTTTTACAAGCAGCCAGCTGAGCACATCCAGCAAGAGGATTACCTCAATGTGACTTCAACTTCCAGAGGGAAAGCCTCTGATGTCTGCCTGTGCTTATGCACCCCAAAGCAGTTCAGAATACCTTTGGAGTCTTTGTGTCAGATCTTGGAATGGGTTTAGGATAGGGAATTTACCTCAGAAGTTAGGTAGGTATTGTGTTGCAGCAGCCCATTAAATATAAAATACAAAAATGACACCTCGATAAATCAAAATATGATATGATACACTAAGAAGCTTAAATATCAAATTATTGTAGGAGCAGTGGGATGAGTTGGTAAAGAGTTCCTGTATCAGTCACTGACTTTGTTATATGAGGTCTTATATCTTTGACACTCAGCTAAAGAGAGGAGCAGAACTTTCAACTGAGTTGCATCCAACTGGCAGGCACAGCTGCCAGTCAGACCTGTAAAGCAGTGAGGTCTGACAGAGTCCCCTGTCCATACGGTCTTTAACTCTGACATTCAGAAGAATTTCACCTGTATCTCAGGCGAGTGTTGGAAGTCTGCAACTTCCTTGCTGGAGGAAGTACAACCTAAAGAATTGTGGGAAGCCACGTCAGTTAAACTGAAAAAGGTCACTGGGATAGGTAAGAAATTCCCTTGTGAAAAGGAGCCACATTTGGATGAGAGTCATCCCAAGTTACCAAACGCTCTGGATACTCTGGAGCTTATTTAGTGGGCATGCCTCTTCAGTGTTTTGTGGAGGTGCAGACTGGAGCCCTGGTTGGTTCTGATAGTCAAGAAGAATACCAAATTAGAGGTATCACGGCCACTTAATCATCCACTTACATACTTCTATAATCAAAGTGAGAGCTGTGCCCTCATGCTTGGCACAAAATCAACCATATTTTCAGTGGGTACTGGACTCTCCCATGGTTGTCCCTTGTCTCTAGTCTGTGACATTCATGCACAGGAGGGAACTCCATAGCGCTCCTACCATTTGTGAGTCTTGTGCTTATTTATGGCTTCTAATTTTGTTGAACATCTGATGTTTAACGACATCAGATGTTCAACAAAATTAGATTTACAGATTTACACATCAGATTTACAGATTTACAGGCTCTGCCAGTCTTGTATTTTCAGAGACACATGCCACAGTCTCTTCCCCCATTGACAGACTCCAATGTCTTAGACTACAGATATCTCTTTTGTTCTAAAGCTCCACTGTGAGGTGAAGAGTCATTTTAACCAAAACTGCTGCATGTAAAGAACTGTATCAGATAAAATACTCAGACCAGCCATCAGGCATCAACAACCAGGCTGCTTTCAATCAGATTTCATTCAGACTGAACTTCACTAGACTGTCTTGAACATGACTACATGCCGAAATGCTTTGAATTTCTGAGATAGTTTGATACATTTAGTTTTACAAGTATCATTTACATATCTTGAGTAACCACAGTCAAAAGTCAGTAGGGTTTTGATAAAAGTTTAAAAAAAAATTAATTATAGCAATCCTCAAAAAAGCTAAGCTACTTCATGAGTAAGTTCCATTTTTATTAGACTTGATTTTGAAGAGAAAAATGTCAGACCTCTGGTAGAGGACATGAGACGACTTTAGGAGGACCTACACATAAACACACTGTGTGTACGTGCCTGTGCTCAGTTATATTTAACAGAGACTGTTAAAAATAATGAAGTTAAATTCAATTAATAATATTACAACAAATCCTGTCTCAAGGTTATTCAACTTTTTGCTAAAAACCCTGGAATAAACAAGTCAGAGTAAAAGATTGCTGACAATCTTCCTACTTGGACAATACTTCAGGGATTTTGACAGTTTGTATCATTTTGTGGCACCCTTTCTGCCTCAAAATGATACATTTTTATTGTATTTCTACCTTTTGCTTCTGCATTAAGTAGGAACACATAGAAAAGCAAAGAAGTTTGAATGTAATCTCAGAAGCGTGTGATTGTGTGAAAAGTCTCCAGGCAATGAGAATCAAGCATTTAATACAGCCATGAACACATTAAAGGCTCAAGTATGTAAAGTCTTTCCTGCAGCAGGCTGTGGTTGTTCGCAGGTGCTCTCTCTCTCGCTCTCTCTCTCTCTCTCTTTCACACACACACACACACACACACACACACACACACACACACACACACACACACACACACACACACACACACACAGATAGCATCAACAAAGAAGTCTACAGAACGAGTGGGAAGCTGTTCTACTTTCATGCTGCATGGTGACATATCACCTGCAAGCAATGGGACCTGCTTTTTTCAAATCAGACAATATTTTTCCTGGAGCAGCACTTCACTACGTGATACTCAGCAAATGTCTGAATGTTTTTTTTTTTAAAAACTGTTTCAAATCAATGTTGAAAAATACTGTCATTCATTTCACCCTTTGTTTATTTAATTTAAACCTTTTTAAAGTCCGTAGCTTGGTTACATGGTCATGGTTACAATAACACACACCTGGAAATATTGAATATTGGTCTACCCTTTAAAGTTCAGTGTTGATGGTTTTCACCCCCTCTTTCTTGTTATTTTCTGTCAACTCTAGAATTGATTTTTTTGCCTCTTGTGTGAACAGCCAACATATCTGGCTTTTGTGTGTTATATCACTATGCCCTATAGCTGAATGTGTATACAAATCTGGTAAGTGGAGAAATACACAGAACCACTGACAGTTCTGTGTCAGCGTTTCTGTGTGAAAGTGAGTCCATCACCATAACCTCTGTAAACAGCATTAAATAGACGGGTACAGAAGTTGTTATGGAACTGTACTTCATCTGGTTTTGTTAAAAATTAAAGTAAGAGCTATATTTGAGTCACTGAACCTATTCTTTTATGTTGTTGGTGCTTTTTGGAGCATTTTAATGGAATTTGCTGACTAAGAATAAAATGACTTGCTATGTAGTACTGGCCCGCCAGTGTTCACTTTTACTAAGTATAATTTATGGATGTGTGTTGTTGTTTCTTATGACACGTGTAAAAATAAATCACTGTGGTTATATTTTTCCATAGAGTGGACACACTAAGTGGCAAAATTCAGACACTTGTCCAGTTTGTGGACCATGTAGGACAGTCTTGATACCAGTGAATAGACTGGTATCTTTTAGTCAAGCCTCTTTCACACACTCTTTTTTTAGGCCTAGGCACTTTTAAGGTAACAGTCACGCACACTCATGCAGCTGCACTGGGGGACAATTCAGGGTTCAGTACTTAACCCAAGGATTCTTGGACAAGAGGAGCTGGGAATTGAACCACCAGGATTTACATACCAAGTCACAGATATGTTGTCTATTTAAGTTGCGATGAAGGCCACACGCCAAACTCATCAGGCAATTAAGTTACTCTACAACCTAGAAGCATGCTTGAGTTTTGACATCTTCTGTCTTTCTGTTCTTCTCTGTTCTTCTCTGTACTTCTTTCAAGTGGGTGAACTTGTGCCAAAAGCCCCTACAGTGTTAAAACCCAGTCTCAAAGATGAACATCTTGTTAAATATATTCTTTCCCCTTCTGCAAGTTCTGCATGTTCAGTTTGGGTCAAAAGACAGTATCATGATAAGTTACTGGGAAAACGAGTCAGTCTTTTTAGGCATGCTTGATTTTTCACAAGCTTTCTCCTGAGAATGTTTAATACAGTCAGAGCCTCGGTATTTAAATTTCTAAGACATTTCTTTGGTTTTAATTTCTTCCATACTTCCAGATTTACCACTGGAATAAATCTTAATAAATTACGTTGGCACAGGACTCTTATCGAAATGACATATTTTTAAGTGAAGCAAGTAATGTTTACAATCAACACGGAAATAAGGTACGCACATTTTGGGGGGGTCTGATCCTTTCTTTCAGTTATTGTATCAGACTGAAGGGAAGCGTCTGTACAATGAGCCAAAACAGCACACATACTGAATGTCTGATGCAAATGCACACCCACAACAACAGGAATTCAGTAGAAAGTAAGAGCAGCAGGTTTGTGGCTTCTCAGTGTCACCTTTCATTCTTGTTTTCTTTTTCAGCTTCATCTTACCTGGAGAGGACCATTATAGTCTGCATCTGTTTTGTCAAAGTGAGGAGAATTTTAGTCATAACCCCACACTAAATATAAGAGATATGATGCTTCATATTTGCTATTTCCTGTCTGGATATTTCATTCGGCCACATTATAGCATGGAAAGTTGCAGATGCCTCATACTGGTACTACTATGAATGTGTGGGTTTACTACTCTCATACTCCCATATCTGAAATAAAACTTCTCAATTACATTGATACACTGAAATCAGCGAGACTGGTGAAGGGTTAATCATTTGTATTAGTATCAGTAAGTACAATGATTTAGCATCTCCTGTTGTTTTATTTAATTCATTAAAATGGCAAAGTTCCCATCTTTGCGTTCACATGAATTTGCCTGAAACACACTTGACAGTAAAAAACAGACCTAATAACTGAATGTCAGATGATGTTTTAATATGTGAATGGGAGACTGGAAATAAATCCAGTGCTTTTTTATTCTCTGCCTGCCTCATACAGCAGGCTGAATTTAAAAAATAATAATAAAAAAAACACTAATAAAATCTTAAGTCAGGTCTTTTTAACATAAATGACTAACTGGTCAAAACTCTTTCACATATCATCAGAAAGTCAGATTCTATTATAACAGACTCGTTATCTCAAGACTTCAGTTTTCTATCAGAGTGGGTTTTCTTGTTCCTCTCAACGTTCAGACCAAGAGGTGTGATGCAGATAAACAGATTTAAAATGAACAAAGGAAAAGGAAGTAGGCCTACACAGAATATTATTGTCATGACTAAAGCTCTAGTTTTTGCACAATAGCACTGATAGCCTCATCGCGGCACTAGATAGCACACACACACACACACACACGTATATAACAGATGTGGAAAATTGCAAATGCTGAAGTGTTTGTGTTCCCGATTCCTGCCGACTGACTTTGAAATTGTGAGCAGTCCACCTGTCCAGTATAGAATCAGCCTCTTTCCCAGCAGCAGCAAAGAATGGCTCAAGCCCCAAAACAACCTTCCCCAGTGTTATAGTTTCACCAAATGTGATATTTGTATGTTTCACTTTTCTGACACTATTCCATAGCTCAGCAATTATTAGATTATTATATAATGATTACAAGATTAATACATGATTTAGTATGCAGAAACCAGTATTGCATATTGCATATGTAAGATGTAAATATGACTATTTTTTTAAAATATTAATGCCTTGAAGAGAATATTTGTATGAGGCATACCCTGTTTTATAGAAACTGCACTACATTTTAAACATCGACTGTAAATTTCATGTGATTTCATGTTCAGTTAACGCAGGGCTTTTAAGTTGATCCTCCTGTTTCGCTAGCTAGCATATAACTTGTGATTTCAGCAGTTCTATTGGTCAGTTAGCAATAAATCAGACTAAGATAGAAGAGCAGAATGAAATGTGTTATTAGAAAGATGCTCTAAGCCTTTCACAGCGGTAATACACTCTTTACCACTGCACTGTTATTTCCTGGTTTCAGCTAACAAGATGGCTGCAGCTTTTACAAAAGTCTGGAGAGGAGTTTTCACTTTTGTGCCTTTTTTTATTAATAACTCTTGTAACTCTCCTCATCCATACGTCCAACACTGTATACAAGTCTACAAGTTCCACAACAACACACCTCATATTGACAGAACAAAGAACATGCTCTGGGTTATGTTAGTTATTAAAAAAACAAACATCTAATGTAATACAACACACCAAAATCATTTCCAAACCTTAACACACACACACACACACACACACACACACACACACACACACACACACACACACACACACACACACACACACATTTAGCCAACACATAAATAAAACGTGTTTAATAAACATTATGAACGTCTCGATGTACTTGGTGCCACTAACGTGCAGTAAATGACGGAGGATGTCATTCTGATGCTAAAAGACTGAGAGTGAGGTAGAAATGAACTTTAATCATTTATTACATGAACACTAGGACAAAAAAGTCCAACTGAATGCTTCAGTCCCTGAGGGCACAATTGTTTAAAAAAACAGAGTCATTTTAGTGGCCTGAAGAGTCCTCACTTCACAAAAAGTAAAGAACAAGATTTTTTCAATCTGTTTTGTATACTTTTAAATAAATAAATGTTAAATACATTTAAATACATTAAAAAAACATTAATATTTTATATTTTATGTATTGACCCTACAAATGAGAAGATAAAATGCTTTTTCTGTTCACTATTTCATAGCTGAGAAACTGCACAGTAAAATGACCATAAACTCTTTCTAGAAACATTCTGTAGATGAAAAAAAAAAGTTAAAAGATTAATACTGCAGTTTGGGGAAAATGGATGAGTGAAATTGCTCTAAACTGTTCAAATCTCTGAAACTGAAATGGGCTCAGATCTATAAAAAGAGAGAGCTTGGCCACACACGTCCCGCTGTGCAACAGGACCTCTCTGTCACCATTTGATTTACCTCATCATGATCGTAAGCTTTAATAGTGCCAAATGTTTTAGTGTGTGCGTTTTTAAACCGCATGCATATATTAACATATCAAAGTTAAATGCACTGTAGTATGAAATCGTCACCTTTGATAAATCTCAAAATTATCATCTTAAATAGCTTCCCAAAGATTTCTGGGCCCTTCATCCTAACGAGATGCCCTCTCTGTTTTCGGTGTCTGTGTATCTGTGTATCTGTGTATATGCTGCTTTTGATAAAATTTTGATTTGAAATATTTGGACTGACTGTACATCCTTGTTGACTGAGTGTTGCCATCATCGCAACGTTTTTAAAATATGCTCTGAACATCTCACTCTGCATTGAGTCCAATTAAATAACTTTTGAAAATTTATTGTAAAACAGTACGATTTGTGCTTACCGGAGAAGCGTATGCAGAACCTCCTCCTTGCCACAGTCTTCCTTTTCTCAGGTACTTCGAGGGAGAAATGATTCAAGGGGGGAGTAATTCCACAGGAAATATGGTTTTCAGCAACTACGACTTCAAGATGTATGACAGATAGACCTTATTTTGAGGAAGACTGCAAAGTGTGGTTGGCAACACAAGAAAAAAGTAAAAAAAAAAAAAAAAGTTATATTTCACAAAAAACCCAAACAACCCAACAACAAAAAGAGCACATACAATTTTCAGCTTAATGTTTAATTTTACTCAGCAGCGCTGTGCTTTTTTGTTTTAAAGGAAAATATAATTAAATGTTAAATATCAGAATCAATCTTGGACATCTTGACCTGAAATAAATGTTTCTGGTACTGCTTTATGTACAAAGACCAGAATAAAAAGATACGTGTTCAGCACTCACCTGACTATCTGAGAGCACGATGACACATCAAAGCAGCACAACATCAACTTATATTTATACCCAGAGCAGGAGATGGGGTAATGTAAAGCTCATGTAGTCAGCAAATCAAAACACACCAAGAAACTGCAACAAAAACATTTCCAAACTCTGCTGTGACAACCTAAAAAAAAATCTGTCTGTTGGAAAGTAAACTGTTTTATACCTGAGCAAAAAGTGCAAACGGATTTATGAAAGGTTCCGACAGTTTTGACAAAATAACAACTTTTTCCGTCTTCCCACATAGCTCACCTTCTTCTGGCCATTCTTTCACGCAGGTTATGTCTTTATTCACCAGTCAACAGCACATCAGCATGACAGGTCTTTCAATTTAGGCTTGCACCAGAACTGCAATACAAGTGTGCAAATTTTAAAAAGTGACATTTAAAAGTGTTTTTCAATCTAAATCTATGAGGCACGAATGAAACAGGAAAAAAGTGAAAAACTGCTTTTCTAAGGAAGCACCTCTCTTCTTCTTAATGGACAATTTCAATGAATCAAACCCCAGCTTTGTGTCTGCCTTCTGGGCATCTACTGAGTCTGGAAGGCAGACCAACGGCCCATCCGTGAGGCAGATATCTAAACCACATCGGGTCTTTGCAGCAAAATGCCAAAGAGCAGAATTCAAGTAAAAAAATTTATTAAAAAAACAGAAAGAAAGAAATCTAAAATTGTTTCATCACAAAGAAGCATGTCACACAATCTGAAAATACATCTATAGAAGTAATAATTCCTATTTTGTGAGTGTGAATCAATTCTTCACTGGTTCAGATTGGTGTGATATTCTTGAAGCCTACAGGACTCTGGACAGCGTGTCTATAACACTGGAACAGGGTTTTCGGTGAAGTTGAAAAAGCAAACATGTACTGCAAAATGTCAGAGATTTGCATTTATTAGTTTAGTTTCTACATGGAATCAAGACCACATTCCTTGTTTATGTCTTAAAAGTAACACAAGAAGAATGCAGATTTTTAAAAATATTTCTTCAAATTTAAGTTAAAAAACTAAAAGTAGGGCTCATGAAATTGAAAATTGACATTTCGATTTACATCAGACTGTAAGTTAATGATGTGTGACTAGAAAATGTGTTTCCTTCCAGTAATAGTACATATATGTGCAGCATGGGAGTGCCGTCCATGCTTTATTTGACAGCTTACTCTAATCTATACAGCACTTTGTTGATCACTACCTGGAATTCCTGGTTTCTCTGAGCTGCTATGTCTGTTTATTGTCTCAGTGCTGAAAGACCACAGGCTTTTTTTCCCGGTACATACTATGTACATTCCTCTGTCTGTCGTGAAAGTAAAGCAGTTAAGGTTCCAAAAAGCAGACCATTTCTGCTTGAAGGGTTTTTCTTGTTTCCATCGATTTTCACACTCAACTTGAGGTCTTTCATTTCAAAAAAGAAAGTGTAGCCAGATGACAGCAATGAAAGGACTCAGCAGTTCCTTCAGGTCTGAACACCTGAAGGAACTGGCTTATTTGTCCTTCCTCAGTGATACAGATATCTGCTGAAAGGTATGGCTTTGCACGTATACCTGATGCTGCAGTTATACCTGAGCTCAAATATGAGTTAGTACCATCTCTTACTGTGTGAGTAATGTTCTCGTGTGAATATTGGCAGAGTGAGAAAAGCTTTGATGACTGTACTTTCTCATTCCACACATGTCATTGTGATGAGGTGAAAATTCTTTCTTTTTTTAATTGTTTTTTTTTTGCTGACAAGCTTTTGTTCTGAGTACTGTTACTGATGATGTGTCTGTATGATTCAGAGCGAAAACAAAAATATTGTTAGTATGTGTTAGTGATTCAGTTCTTCCTTCACAAATGTGTTGGATTTTAAGGCTGATTCAGCTGATTCAGTCCAAAATGGGGCTGACTGTGTGTTTCAATCGAGGTCAAATCCTACCAGTGTGAAGCTGACATTTTATAGTGAAAGTCCTGAATTCAGAATTTCAAAGAAATTAGATTTGGCATATTATCTCCTGTAGTTTAAAGTTTTGGAAGAACAAAATGCATGGATATATGAAGTATTCGCTCTCTCCGGTTCTCTACAGCTAGAAAAAGAAAAGCATTTTGACCTTTTAATTTTTAGGTCTGATTTTAAATCCAGCCCTCAAACACTGATGATTTTGAGTTATCTATTTTCACTTCATTTTGTTCTCAACAAATTACACACCATATGTCATATTTTGTGATCCCTTAATTTCAGTTTGATTTGCAAATAGAAAACCTTTTGAGACACTGCCAAATAAAATATAAAACACTGCTGCATTACTCTGACTTTTTTCAGGTACAGTACCAGGGTGTTGGTAATGACAGTGTTTAAACCTTCACATCTAGAATATCCACTCTAACCAGCATTATTAATGCACATTTGGCCATGGCACCTTTAATATGCAGAACCAGTCAGCACCTTCTTTTCTTAGTGTAACCCAGGTAACCCTAACCCTGCGCGTGTGTGTGTGTGTGTGTGTGTGTGTGTGTGTGTGTGTGTGTGTGTGTGATAATACTTGTGGCTTATAGAGCATGTAAGGGTCATGCAGAGTCCCTAATTGAGCATCCACCCTGACAGCAGATCTATGATCTGCTTGGTTGAGCTAAAATATACTAAATATACATTTTATTTCACTTGGCATCTTAATTAATGAAAGTAATATCGTAAACACAATAATATAATCTTCCATTTATGATGTCAGGAAGTCGAAATGCAGTCATGGTTCTTCGCTGAAATTTTATCTGGATTTGATCTGACTCAAGCAGGAATCATATACTCATACAAAGTAATATATCATGTAAGTCAGCGTTCAAATACAGTCATATGAGGTCACAGTTAGTCATGTTACATTTACCCACATACTTTCATATTATCTTATTTAATTCTATTGGCAGCAATGTTGGACTGTTATTGTGTTACTGTGTGCATTAACTTGGTGGCCGCCGGGATTAAAGCCAAATAAAATACAATTTTTGACTGAATAAAATGTGGATTTTTCTGGATTTGAACAAATAAGATAAGAGAACTAAATGAAGCCAAACCGTTTTCAGTTTTCTTACTAATTTCTGTGGCAGATGAGCTCAACTTAATCGTAATCATGAGCTCAACTTAATCGTAACTAGGTAACTTGATAAAAAAGGTTGAACAGGATAAATAATGTTAGCAGGATAGGACAGATTTTCTCAGCTGTCATCTTAGAACTTTAGCTAGTATAGAGTCATTATTACTAACATGTCTAGTAGGCATCATTTATCAATATTTAGTATCTTTTGGTTTCCTTTGGAGTGAACACAGATTCTAACAGACCATCTTTTTGTCATTCATACACATAATGCTGCTGTAATAGAATTTGTTTAGTTAGATAGCAAACTGTGTCTGTGAGCATGCATTTGTCTTGTATATTAACACTGTTCATTAGACCTAGGAGACCATAGGAGCTTGATGTAGACTGAAGTTGGCGTACAAAACAAAAAACCCTGCTGATCAATATATATTGTATGAGAAAAGACAAAAGGACATCATCACAGAAATCAATTGCAAAAGAAATACACACATTTTTATTTTGCAAAAGAGATTTAAACTTTAATGACACAACCAAGTGATTAAATCAACGTTATAAAGAACAAAGTCTTAATTAAACATTGTACTTCCATAAATCTTTTCAGTGGACTTATGTTAATCCTACCAATACAGCGCTCATGTGGATTTAAGTCTTTTCTACTTCTGGCTGCGTGACTTTCTGTTCCGTGCTTTTTGGTTGTCAGCAGCTGAATCGGTCATAATCGACCGCTCAGTGTTCATGCTCTGTGTCTAAGCGCCTCTTTGGATGACAGAGTTAAAAAGAACTTGTTTTTCACTATAATGTAAAGGAGCTGGTTGGGTGGCAGTGCCAGTCTGTTCATATGAAAATTCATTTAGTAATGAATAATTACTTATTGTTTTTAAACTGCTCGGAAATTTTATTTCCTTGTGTCTGAATGCTTGTTCTGTGTAAATCTGTAATCATTTCAGTATCAACAACCTCAAATGGTACACGAATAGATTTTTTTGGAGAGGAAGTATTAAAGCAGTAAGCGGGGGGAAAGCCCAGTAACATGCTGTATGACATTCTAACAGGTGTAAACAGCTCATTCTGAGGTTATTTTTTTGTGTTGTCAAAGGTCATCTAACCTAACAGAATGCCACTGAGGCACAACGGAAGCTCAAGAACCTTCAAAGCTTTATTTTCTTTAGAAGGTTTTGTCATTATTATTAACCTTATTAGGTAACCTGTGCCTCAGGACTGAGGCAGCTTTTCTCACTTGTTTTTTTCTAAATTAAACTGATCACATCTGATGCAGTTATTTTTTTTTAAATCCATCTTTATTTTAAAATTTCTGTTCAGTTCATTTCATAAGTTCATTTAATTATTTAACTCATTTGTTACTTTAAACATAATCTGTTGCTACAAGGTACAAAGTCTAGCGTTTCAATACGCGTATTACATAAACATTACCATGCTGTGTGAACATATATATGCTACTACTTTTTGCATTGCTGTATTTGCTTCACCAACATACAGCTTATTAGTGGCAATACCGAAAAGAGAAAGAAGAGCATATTGCTGTAGGTCATTTGTTTATTCCTCCATTATTATATCCTCCCTTACTAAAATAGAGTCTGTCTATGATTTTTGGGATATATAAAATATACCATTCATTGTGTACATTTTTTCATACAGGAATGTCTTCTTTTTGGCTACTTTCAGAAAAAAATAGGTCAGCAAACCAAATGATTAGACAAATCAGAGGGTAACACCGTCGTTGCTGCTGCTGAGTTCAGCCAGTCAAATGTATATTACTCTTGGTTTGTCATGCCTGTAAGCAGTCAACACAACCAAACTGGGATGTCATAACTACAGAGAAAGAGACCTTCAGTGCTAAAGAGTCCATAATATTTCACTTTGACTTCTATGAAATAATTAGTTGTCTTAAAAATTATATTTTGATCAGGGAAACTAGAAAACTGTGA